AAGGACCACACTCTCACAGAATACCAGCGTAAAATAGTAGCTTAATACTGCTGTGTTTCATATGGTGAATGAGAGGACCGGAGACCCTTTTTACTGGAAACGAATCATTCTTTCTTAGTCCTCACGGGTGACAACGCATCTGCATTTTGATTTGTAATCGAGGATAGATGTAGATGTCTATGGGCCGAGGCAAACACTTACTATCAGGTGGACTGTGTGCTCATTTGTCACACCGTCCTATAAAAAAAAAGAACTGGAAATTCCGAAATAAGTGGAAAGGGGAATGGAGATAAGTGTAGATGGAATATTTTTTTTATATAGGATAGGGTGACAAACGAGCACACATTCCACCTGATGGTAAGTGGTTGCTGTGGCCCATAGACATCCACATCCATCCTCGATTACGAATCAAAATGCAGATGCTTTGTCACCCGTGAGGACTAAGATGGAATGCCTCGTTTCCAGTATAAAGGGTCTCCGGTTCTCTACACTCACCATACGAAATACAGCAGCATTAAGCTACTATTTCACGCTGGTATTCTGTGAGAGCGTGGTCCCTCCCCGGTCGAGCCGACCCATTCGTGCTACAACTATACTTCTAATATAACTGCAGCATGGCTCTACCACGTATGTAGCATGGCTCTACCACGTATAATATATAATAATGAAAACAATGAAAAACATGAAAGCAGTTAAGGCAGCTGGATATGATAGAGTATCACTCGAGATGCTAAGGGCTGGAGAGGGAGTGGTGGCAGGCCTGCTGTACACCTTGTTTAATTTATGTTGGGAATTGAAGCGGGTACCGGAAAACTGGTATAAAGCAGTTATAGTCCCAATATATAAAAGAAAATGGTCACAGCAGGACTGCAAAACTACCGTGGTATCAGCTTGTTTAGTATTGTGGGTAAACTGTGTGCTAAGGCGTTAATTGAAAGAATTATGAAAGATAAAGATAAGATAAAGATACATTTATTGCATAACTGTGTACAATATGATCTTAGTACAAAAAACATATAGTTTTAGGCTCAACGGCTTACCCATGTCAGATATGCAAACATTAAGAACATAAATTTGAAATGTACTACTTACTAACATTAATATTATTTAAAAACTTATTAAGATTGTAAAAACATTTTCAATTAACAATTTCTTTAATTTTGTTTTCAACTTATTTCCATTTAATTGTTTAATAGCTGTTGGTAACCTTTTGTATGTATACACGAATAGCAATAATATAGGTACTTTTATATTAAATCATATTTTTAATAATATGTAAGCTTGTATCATATTTATATTGATTGCGAATGTTTTTCTGTGAATCAGATTTCAAATTAAAATATTGCGTATTGTTTTTAACAAATAGACATAATTCCAGGATAAAGATTCCAGTCAGTCAGAAACTGATGGAAAAATTTGCGATGTGCAAGCGGGATTTAGAAAGGGAATGGGGTGTACAGATCAAGTCTTATCTACGTGCATGATTACGGAGAAGTTTTTGGCCAAAAACAAGAAAGTTTTTCGTGCTTTTATGGACTTGGAGAAGGCCTATGACATAGTGGACAGGACTGTGTTATGGCAAACACTAAACTTATTCGGGTTGAGCGCTGGTTCGATACAGGCATTAAGGTCTCTTTATAGGAACTCTAGTGCTTGTTTCAGTATCAACGCAGTCTACTCTGACTGGTATGACATCCAAAAAGGTGTCAGACAGGGCTGTGTAGTGTCCCCGTGGCTGTTTAACCTATTTATGGACACTTGTTTGCAAACTTTGAAACATGAAGTATGTGGGTTAAGAATGGGCGAGTTAACCATCAAATTTCTTTTGTACGCCGATGATCAAGTCATATTTGCGTTGTCGGCGATTGAGTTGCAAATGATGGTTACATTAATGAACTGGGCATTAAAAGAAAGGGCAACGAAAGTGAACACAAGTAAGACGAAAGTGACGGTTTTTGAAAGAGAAGAAAGTAAGACGTTAAGTGAAATAAGAATAGAAGGTGAGTTGATTGAGCAAGTGGATGAGTTCGTGTGTTTGGGATGTGTATTTGGCAAGGATGATAGACATAATAAGGATATAGAACGACGAGTGAATGCAGGAAATAGAGTGAATGGGGCTCTATACTCAGTTATGAAGAATCAGAATGTGGCAAAAAAGACACGTATGGTAATTCATAATGCTCTCTTAATCTCTACTTTAATGTATGATAGAGAAATTTGGGTGTGGCAGAAGTAGCACAAAAGTAGAATAAATACTGTAAAAATGCGGTCTTGACGGAGTATGCTAAAGTCGAATCTGAATGACAGGGTGAGAAATTGTGTGATAAGAGAAAAATGTTGTATGCGAGATGATGTTGTGACCAGGATTAAGAAAGGAATGCTTCTGTGGTTTGATCATGTAGAAAGAATGAAGTAGGAAAGAGTAACAAAGCAAATTTATATGGCAGATGTGAACGGCAGAGTCGGGAAGGGAGGCACTAGACGAAAGTTCAGACGGAATTGGCGATATTTTTAAAATGGGCCACATTACGAGTAACCTTAACTGACGTACGTGTATGCGTAGATACATGGATATAAAGGAGGCGAGAGAGGTATGTCAGGATCAGATCAGATCAGGAAAAAAAATATTGGCGCGACATGTTGGAAAGAATTATTGCGATTGTTAAGTATTTAATACGATACTTAATATAATACTTTTCGAACATGATAATGGAAATTTTCTAAAAGCTGTTGAAATAATTGCCTCTTTTGATTCAGTGATGAGATTCAGTGTGGTGCCAATCAAGCTGAAATCGCAGTTGCATTATGCAGGCTGCCGCCGTGTTTGGCATTATAGGTCAGCCGATTGGGATGGGATGCGGTCTTTCTTTGCATCCTAACCTTGGGAGTGGATTTGCTTCTCGCCGGACGATCCCAACGTTGTTGCGGATTCAGTCGCTGATGTGGTACTTCAGGGTATGGAACTTTTTATTCCTTCCTCTGTGGTACCCATTGGAGGCAAATCTCAGCCATGGTTTGGTCGTTCCTGTAAAATAGCATCATGCTATAAGCAGGAGTGCTACCAAGCCTGGGCTGACACATTAGCGTCCAGGGATGTAAACACCAGCGCTCTAAAAAAGAAGTATAATTCCGCCTCTAGGTCCTTCAAAAGGGTCATTGCCAAGGCAAAGTCAGAGCACATAGGCAGAATTGGCGAGAAACTAGTTCGCCTTTCTTCTGGAACCCGTGCATTCTGGTCTCTCGCCAAGGCTGTCCAGGGGAATTTCTGTCAGCCATCTCTTCCATCTCTGCACAGGGAGGACGACTCACTGGCCCATACCGCAAAGGAGAAATCCGATCTTATAGGCTCTTTCTTTGCGTCCAACTTGACTCTCGATGACGGAGGGTACGCCGCCGACCATCCCGCGGTGTGAGTGCTCCATGCCGGAAGTGCAGTTCACACAGCGCTCGGTTCGCAAAGCACTCCTCTCCCTGGACATCCACAAGTCGAGTGGGCCTGACGGAATCCCCCAATTGTGCTGAGGACGTGTGCTCCAGAGTTGGCACCGGTCTTAACGCGTCTTTTCCGGTACTCCTACCACCTAGGTGTAATCCCAAAATCATGGAAGACGGCTTTCGTCCACCCGATCCCTAAAAAAGGCGACTGCTCAGACCCGTCCAACTACCGGCCTATCACCATCACCTCCTTGTTCTCCAAAAAAATGGAGTCCACTGTAATCTGTCAGCTCATGAGACACCTTGAGGATTCCAGCTGATTAGTGACCGCCAATACGGTTTTCGCCGTGGTCGGTCAGCTGGTGATCTTCTGGTCTACCTAACTCACAGATGGGTGGAGGCAGTAGAGTCCAAGGGGGAGGCATTGGCCGTTAGTTTGGACATTGCGAAGGCCTTCGATCGGGTTTAGCACAAAGCGCTTCTTTCGAAACTCCCTTCCTATGGGCTTCCCGAGAAATTGTGCGATTGGATCACCAGCTTTCTTGCAGATCGGAGCCTCAAGGTCGTTGTAGACGGTGCAAGCTCCGATTGCAATCCTATTAATGCTGGTGTTCCACAAGACTGCGTGCTATCGCCAACGCTGTTTCTTCTGTATATCAATGATATGTTGCAAACCCGTAACATTCATTGCTATGCAGATGACAGCACTGGTGATGCTCTTTACACCGGCCGAGCCAATATTTCTCGGGAAAACGTCTCCGAGTGCCGGGACAAACTTGTGTCTGAAGTCGAGTATCTGCTGGATAGAGTCTCGGATTGGGGGCGACTAAATCTAGTCCAGTTTAACCCCCAGAAGACACAAGTTTGCGCGTTAACCGCTAAAAAGAACGCCTTGGTCGTATCTCCTCAGTTTCAAGGCACTCCCCTTGTTGCCTCAGCCAGTATCGGAATCTTTGGCGTCGACATATCGAGTGACGTGCAGTTTCGTGGTCACTTGGAAGAAAAGGCCAAATTGGCCTCTTCTTTTTTCGGGATTTTTTATATACAACCTCTCGGGCCGAGCGCACGTACTTTACAGGGCTCCGTATATTTTTGGTTCTTGCTCCTTATAAAGAGCTTATTTTTGCGTCAAACTCCTATCATTGTATCCTTTAAAGTATAAGTGTTAATTTATATTAATCAAATTATCCAATATAGTCGCCAGTGAGTAAATATTCAAGGTTTTAATAGTGTTTTGTAGTGACAAAGTTATCAGTCCGTGCGTATTCTCTGTGGTGACTCATCCTTCGCTGCGCTTGGACGAAACATTACCTTATATGATCATGCGAGTGCTATGCTTGCATTGTGCGTAAACACACTGCAATAATCGGATAAGATATTTCAGGCGTCGACTGCCGTGGTGTAGCTGTCTCGTCGTACGCCTACGACCCCCGGATCGAATCCCAGCATATCGATAAAAAATTTGTCTAGTTCTCAATAAATTTATTTTAGATGTTTTGAATTTAATATGACCAAGAAAGGTAATAAGATTATCCAAACACAATTTATTAGGATTATTTTCAAATATGGAATCCGTCAAAGAATGTGCGGCTTGTTTGAGTAACTCAAAGGATGTTCCTGTCCTGCTCTGTTCACGCTGTGCTGCAAATTATCATCTCTTGTGCATGAACATTAGTTCGAAAGATTACAAAAAGATGTCGCAGGAAGACAAATCAAACTGGATTTGCGTACAGTGCCGCTGCAAGGAACGTAAAGGCGACAACACAAACACTCCAGTTCGTAGTAACCCGCCGCCGTCACCGAAGCCTGATTACGTTACAAAGCGCGGCAAGACACGCACTACCGGTACAAACTGTTCTTGTCTGTCGGCTAGTAGCATTCGAGACATCATCCGCGAAGAGTTGCAACAGTTATTCAACCACCAGATTCACCCGCACCTTTTAGAGGTCCAAAACGCAGTGTCCTCCCTCGAAGCATCTATGGCTCATTTTAACGAGGAACTTGAAAAAAATCAAGGCTAACAATGCCGCACACGTTAGCATGATTGAGAAACTAAGATCTGAGACAGAATATTTGCGGGCAAATAATCTATCCTTATCCCCAAATAGACCAACAATCACGCTGCGCAAATATTGAAATCCAGTGTGTACCTGAAAATAGGCAGGAGAATCTTATCAACACTGTAGTGCAACTGGGCAAAATTATAAAATGCCCCATCACTGAGTCACACATTCATTACTGCTCTCGACTAGCCAAAATGAATAGCTCAAGTCCGCGCCCTCGATCCATCTTAGTAAAATTCGGCAGTCCGCGCCTGCGCGACGATTTTCTCGCTGCGACTGCACGTTTCAACAAAACCAATCAGGACGACAAACTCAATTCGAGCCACTTAGGTATCGGAAGAGATAAGAAGACTGCTATTTACGTCATGGAGCATCTCTCCCCGGAAAATAAGAGCTTGCACGCAGCTGCGCGAACCAAAGCTCGCGAACTGAAATACAAATTTGTATAGGTGCGTGATGGTAGGATATACATGCGCAAAAATGAAGAATCAAACTACGTCCGTGTAAAGAAACTCGACCTTTTGAATCGTTTGTCATGATTACGCTATATTTGCTATATTTGTACTAAAAGGCACTTTTACTTGTTACTACCAAAATGTTAGGGGTCTGAGGACAAAAATTATTGAACTGTTTAATAATGTAGTTTGTTGTAATTTTGACATTATTGTTTTCACAGAGACATGGTTGAATGGCACAATTTTTGATAATGAATTATTTGATGACCGTTACACGGTCTACAGACGCGACCGCGAAAACAGCGGGTTCCATGGTGAAAAAATGGGAGGTGGTGTTCTCATTGCTGTCTCTAAACGCTTTAAATCGTGCCGTTTGAGTGCGCAGGAGTCGGATTGTGAAGATTTGTGGGTTAAAGTGGAAATATATGATAGCTTTAATAAAGACAGACACCTGTACATCTGTGGCGTATATATCCCTCCTCCAGTAAAATGCATATACTTAAGCATTTTATTAGTAATGCCAATCGCATATTAGAAAACCACAGTGGAAACACTCTTATACTTGGTGACTTCAATTTGAGTAGCTTATGTTGGACTAAGACTGTTAGTCACACACTCAAACCTGCAACATCCAATAGTCTACTTAATAACATGCTCGTTGATTTCATGTCTCTTAATAATCTAGTTCAGCACAATTCCTGTTTTAACAATAAAGACAAACTGTTGGATCTGATAATAAGTACACTGGATATCACCCGCCTTTACGTAAGTACCGACCCATTATCGGTGATTGACCCGTTGCATCCTCCTATCGAATTCTGTGTGGGACTTAAATGTGACAATTATCTCCTAACCAAGCACGAACCCACATTTATGTTTTATAAAGCAGATTTTATTAAAATTGTAAATGAATTGAATAGTATATCATGGAAAGACGAATTGTCGTGTTATGAAAACGTAGATGACATGGTAGCACATTTCTATAAAGTACTTCAATCCATCATAGCTAAACATGTACCCAAGTCCAAACCTCGTAATAATAAGAAATACCCCATATGGTTTTCAGACAGGTTAATTAAGGTAATCAAGGAAAAATATAAATACAGATCTAAACACCGTAAATTTAATAACCCTCGGGATTTATTGGCCTTTGAACTCCTTAGAGATAGATGTACGAAATTACTTAGCCAGAATTATAAAACTTATTTGCTACGACTGGAGACATCTTTGAAATCAAATCCTAAACTTCTATGGAGTTTCATTAAACACAAAAGAGGCAGTAGTAGTATCTACCCTGCCCAAATGTCTTCTGGAACTACTCTTGCCACTACTGGCCCGGATATCTGCGAACTTTTTGTTTTACAGATCTCTTCAGTCTACAATATTGATAAACTATCCATTCCAGACGAGCACTATTCAGATAAATCCCCCGCTTCTAACTTTATTACCAATATTTCAGTGACTAAAGACCAAGTATTTAGGGTCTTAAAGAGACTTGACTCCACTAAAGGCGCTGGCTCAGATGGAATACCATCTATCTTTGCTGTAAGATGTGCTGGTGCTCTAGCTTTACCTCTGTCCTTGATAATTAATAAATCTCTTTGTTCTGGAACTTTTCCCAGCGCTTGGAAAACTTCTCTTGTTATACCGAAACACAAAGGGGGTGATATAAACTCAGTGAAAAACTATAGGCCAATATCAATTATTACGGTGTTTGCTAAGGTCTTTGAAAAACTACTGTGCCCTATAATGACTTGGCATCTAAGACACTTAACTGCACTGGAACAGCACGGTTTTATGAAAGCCCGCTCTACCACGACTAATCTGATATCCTTCATTGAAGGCCTGGCCGAAGGTGTTGATCATGCGCTGACTTTCGATGTCATATACACTGACTTTAGTAAGGCTTTTGATAATGTCAATCACGATATGTTATTGCATAAATTATCATGTGTCGGTATAGGCGGTAATCTCTTGCGCTGGTTCAGATCTTACCTAACGAATAGACTGTCTGTGGTGGTAGCAGGGGGATTCAAATCTGGCTTTTTTACTGCATTTTCCGGAGTTCCTCAAGGATCCCATCTGGGTCCCATGCTGTTCAACGTTTTTATTAATGATATCGGTAAGTGTTTCCAAAATTCTAAGTATTACATGTTCGCCGATGATTTGAAGTTTTTTAGATCAGTAAATTCATTAGAGGATGTATTGTTGCTTCAAAATGACTTGGAAAATCTAGTATTATGGTGCAAATCGAATGGTATGAGCTTGAATATTGACAAATGGTACAAGTGGTAGTGGACAAGTGGTACGCTTCACTAGAAAAAAGCTCTCAGTGACTAGATATTTTTGTATTGACGATGTACCATTAAAAGAGGTTGATCATATTAGAGATTTGGGTGTAACTCTCGATACCAAATTGCGATTGAATTTACATATAGATAGCATCACTAAAAAAGCCTTCAAGACCTTGGGGTTTGTCTTACGTACCTGTAAGGAGTTTAAAAATCCGAGCACAAAAATCGCAATCTATATGGCACTTGTGCGTAGTAGCTTAGAATACTGCAGCGTGGCGTGGAACCCGCACTACGACGTATAAAAAAAGCGTATAGAAGGTGTACAAAAAAAGATTCCTCTGGCACTTGACTTACAGTTGTAAATTAGCAAAACTCTTGCCTAGCTATAATGATCGTTTGAAATACTTTCATATGAAACCTCTCGTCGAGTGCAGAGCGATGTCGGACAATTTATTCCTCTACAAAATGATAAATGGTTACATCGACGCTCCAGACGTTATATCTCATATTAATTTTGCTATTCCCAGGCGATCGCCCAGGTATAAGAAATACGCTCCATTCGTCACAAAGTTAGCACGGTCGCATCTAGGCTATTATGCTCCTCTAAACAGATTAATGAGGAGTTACAACGAGATACATAACAAAGATATTGGTAATACCGGGAGTGAACAAATTATATTCAAAGATGGTCCATGTATTTCGAAAAAACGTCGAAAGACACAAACTTTGGATATTTTCTCAGACCCCTTACGTCGCTTTAAAAAGGTAGTCTCTCAACTGATATACGATTTTTAAAATATTTATTGTGTTACTTTTTAATGTTTCTTTTTTTATTGCTGTATAAAATAATTTTAATCTTAATAATTGTATTTTAATTTTTTTTAATTAGTAATTCAAATTGATATTATCATTGACATTGTTTTCATTCCTTTATTTATTCATAAACATTTTTTTCTTATATAATAACATTTTAATTCTTTGACATTGAAATTTTGGTATAGTTTTATATTTTCGTAAGCAAAACGTAACGATTAAGAACTGTGTATTTGTAAATCTGATTGTCCTGTTTTTATTGTAATGTTCCCTTTAAGATAACTATTTATAAAGCAAAAAGCAATGTGAGTATGACGCTCAATATTCATGTAGTTTACACCTATAAAAGAGGTATCACTGAGCATTAAACTATTAACATTAATTAATTAACCTTACCAGCAACACTAAAGTCCATATGACGAACCTTGAAAAGGACATTCGTAGCATTAATTTTGACTTGGTGTATCGCTCTGACGATGCAAATACGTCTTTGTTACATTATAAATTGGAGGGAGATACTCTCATTAGTAGTGTATATCTTGTTGGTGTGACAAATAAATAAATAAATAAGTAAAAAGCTTGGCGTGCTAAGCAGAGCGGAACAGTATTTCATGCCGGCACACCGCCTGCAACTTTACAAGGCGCAGGTTCGGCCGCACATGGATTACTATTCCCATCTCTGGGCTGGGGCTCGCCAGTACCAGCTCCTTCCACTTGACCACATCCAGCGCAGAGCGGCTCGAATCGTAGACGACCGAGTGCTTTCCGATCGGCTCGATTCACTGGCACTGCGAAGAGATATTGCATCTCTTTGCATGTTCTTTCGCATATACCATGGAGAGTGCTCTGAGGAATTGTTCGGATTAATCCCAGCCGCCAAATTTTGTGAACACACTACGCGGCAAACGTCCCGATACCATCCACACCATCTGGATGCTTGGCGGTCAACCACTGTACGTTTCAAAAAGAGTTTTCTTCCGCGTACAACCTTTCTGTGGAATAGTTTACCACCGGCGATTTTTCCGGACCGATACGACCTGGAGACCTTCAAGAAAAGAGCTTACTCCTTTCTAAAGGGCCGGCAACGCACCTGCAATTCCCCTGGTGTTGCGGTTGATCATGGGCGGCGGTAGTCACTTAAAATCAGGTGAGCAGCATGCTCGTATGCCCCCTCTTCTATATAAAAAAAAATATCACGGTCAAAGTACAAGGCCCCAATTAACGATACAAAACGTCCTTCACAGGTTCGTTCCATTCCTGCTGCAAGTCCATCGGATGCAGGTCCTTCTACTTCAACCAATTGTCCGCACGTCCAATTCTAGCATACTACCAATAAAGGAAGGAGATACTCTCATTAGTAATGATAAGTGGTATTTAGTTAAGATATTAGACTTGA